ATCCTCCTACTTATCCACCCTTACAACCTAAAAATAAAAATAAAAAAAAGGATTAAAAACAACTTCACATATTTTTACAGACTCTTTCAAAAGATGCTTATGCAAATCTTTATTTTTGATCATCAGTGTTTTTGGTATCCTGTCTTTATGTGCCAAAGCATCCACCCACATTAATGCATCTTAATAAAATCTCCCTTGATTGCATCAGTGGATTATGAAAGCCTTTTTTTAAATAATAAGACTCAGTCCTGTCTGACAGAGCTGCCATTTCATTCCTCTGCCACGTCATCCAACTTTCATCAGACAGATGGGTTGCACTGGTTTTGCGGTCACATCAAACAGCTMATTTTCCTTCACTTAAGCCAGTCTGAGCCGAGGCATTCCTGGAAAGGTGCAAGTTTAGGAAACAGGGGCGGTTGTCACACGTCCAATTGATCGTCCCCTGTCCTCTCGCAACCAAAATCAATAAACTGCATTAAATGTTCTCCTTCAAAATGTCACTCAGCAGAAACCTGGGGCATGTCCAATGAGTCTGGGTAAAGCAGAGACAACTTCAGAGAAGAGATGAACCCTTTTATTTAGAAAAAAAAAAGTAATGCAGCTTCTGTGTCTCTGGGATTATTACAGATTGCTGAATTCAGCGGCAGCTCCAAACAGTTGTCCAAAAGAGGCAGAAAGCTCAGCGTCTTTTCAGCTGATTGCCAATTCAGGCTGCGAGTGTAGGCCTTTGAGTGAGAAATACACAAATCACAGCAAGTTAAGTCAATCTTCCAGCAGATGGCTGTAGCTTTAGGGTGTTACCATGGTGACAGGAAGTAGGGATAGCGTGACAGCAGAGATTGATGCATGTCCAAACTTGGGTGTGTATGTGCACTTCCTGTGTGAGCTTAAAAGAGCAGCTGCCACACACAAGCTACATTAGATTTCACTCTCTCCCCCTCTTCTTCTTCTTCTTCTTTTTTTTTTCCATCTAGTGTCACGCTCACACCCACACCTCTACAGCCAGCAGCGCRGCGCCCTGTGGAGCTGAGAGAGCAGCAGCTGCAGGTCTGATTAACATCCGAGGGTGACATTTTAGGCCTGGAAAACATGAGTCCTCTATCCTAAATCCCCCAAATCTCTTGCTTGTCTTGTCTTTGTGTGATAATCAGCAACCTGTATCCTTTAGGCGCCCTCTCTGAACTGCAAGATTAGTTATGTCTCCTCTCTCTTTGAAACATTATACAAGTTAGATGGAACAGAATGAAAGAGACGGAATAACTAAAAATTGAAAGGGACATTTAAAATGCAAACATGCTGCTTWATTCCCCAACCACTGGATGACTCTTTTAATGAGCAAACAAGCAGCTTTCTTTTCCTAAGAGGAACAAAAATAAAATAAAATATTTACACAGAAAAAAAGACTGTTTGCTATAAATGCTCAAATAGGATGGAAGGGTCTGTGTTTTCTTCACAGTTTTTCTAACCGGAGGCAAAATTTCTTCAAAGTACTTTAGCGACAGATTTTGTCGGCTCAAGTTCTTTTAATGAATGTCAGAAAATGCCAGTTCCCGGATTATGCAAACTAATCAATCAATCAGTCAGCACGAATCAGTCGTTGTTAAAGCCGGAGGCCCAGCGGTGTCCTTCTCACCTGATTACTGGCCTCCACGCTTCAAAATGTATTTGTCAATCTACATTTGTGTCAAGAAAGCAGGCCTGTCAGCGAGCTGTTCCTGCTGACAATCAGTGGCGGCTACAGATTTTTTTTATGGGGGCCCATTGAAAATCTAGGGGTGGCACACCAAAACTAAAATCCACAACAGCTTCAGAAATTCTATCAYGCTGTTGTAAAACAACAATTTGAAAACTATGACATTAGYTCAGTTTCCATCGSAAATGTGAGCAAAACTTTGTCGATATTCTGTTAATGTCGAAAAAACATAGTTTCGCAATTACGATCCAATCCAATTCAATCCAACTTTATTTGTAAAGCACTTTTTGCACCATAGCAGACCAAAGTGCTGTACAGAATCAGCACTGCAACACAGCTCATACAAAAACAAACTCAATCACAATTAAAATAGGAAAAAAAT